TTTTTGCCAGCAGAATGAACGTTGACAAGAAAAAGTAAAAAGAAAAAAAAATGACCCGTGTTAAAACACTCGTAGTTTTATCAAAAATTTAATCGATCAAATATACAACTTTATTGTTTTTGTTGTTGCTGTTGTTATTTTGATCTGATCGTTTTTTACGATTACAGTCAGTCAATCAATTGTTTGATACGTATAAATGTTATCAGTTTGTACAGTAAAAAACAATAACTGAGATAGAAGAACAAAGGCAAAGAAACAGTTTTTTTTTCGTGTACAAATCTATCAAACTACTATTTGTTTTGCTTTGTTTAAACTTTTTTTTCTAATTGAACTACTGTTTTTTTTTATCATTTAATATCATCACCCATTTACGATTAAACCATTTAGGTTTTTCGTCCAAACAGCAGAAATGTTGAACTGACACAGTGTTGACATGCCGAACCAACTACAGATGCAGTTTTGGTGACACCAACCATAAAGATGTCTTTACGCTGTATCTTTATAAAGCAATAAACGTAGGCGGCTAATAGTGGAAATTGGAATAGATACAGAACATAACAGCATGCATCTACATATATATATAAAATTGCTGTTGAGGTATGATCTTGCAGATGGAATATCCCATCAGCCAACTGTACAGCGTAGTTAGGTACCGTCAAAAGCAGTTGTAATGTTGCCATTATCAAACAACGACGTATTGCTTTATGACGACGAGAATTACCGGTCTTAAAAAAAAGAAAAAAAAAAGAAATAAGCATATAATAATTCTAGTAATAAATTTTGTGTTTTTTTTTTTATTTTAACGCATATTAAAGGTTTGCTAAATAGTTGAACAGCAGAAAAAAATTCAGTATTTTTAACAAAACGTTCAGCTAACAAATATATAACTATATTTCAGCGATATCAATAAGCTGTAAATTTTATGGCACTTTTAAAGCAAAAAAATATTTTTCAAAGTAGTTTAGTTTAGTAAGTAAATAGTTTACTATTGTCAACAGAAAAAAACTTTCTTATAAATGACAGTCGTGCCGAAATTTAGTGCTAGCACAAGTTATTTGGCAGCGATCAACCTTAGTGTGACGGTCTTTAAAAGGCACCAAATTACAGTAACGTCGACAAAGATGCATCTGATTCCAAATACTTTTTTCTCCTCAAACTATACCTACTGATTAAGTCGTAAAACACTGTGTAGTTTTAGATGTTCAACTATTTCTTACTTTCACCTCACTATTTATTAACTGCCTCTCTTGTTGGCGTCACTTATATTTTATAAAGAATAAGTCTTCAAAAAATGACAAAATATTTAGCTGTTGTACGTCAAATAAGCTTTTTTTTTTCAGAGTAAAAAAATTAAACGACATATAAAATTTTTTCAATTTAGGTCTTTTACGGGAAATAAAGACATCGCATATACCACTTACCATTATGCTTTTTTTAGACTGAATCTTCATTCCACCATAATTAGCCGGTGATGATCTTCGGCTAGACGAAGTCAAGTTAGTCGATGATAAATTGCAAAGTGGTCGATGAATTTCCTCTTTGTTCACTACAGTAAATCTGAAAAAAAAAGAAAAGACTGGTGACAAAATTTTTCGTCATAGATTAAGACTGCCAATTAGTGTATGAAATAAGACCAACTGATTGGTTTATGCGCTTGACTAAAAAAATTAGATCAGAAAAAGATTTACGTAATCAGTTTGCAATGCAACAAAGAAACAGCTGAAAAAAAGAAAGAAAAAAGAAAACAAGAGTAAACTAATTAAAAATAAGACTGAAAAAAATTTTTAGTTTTTTGTCAATTGTATACTCATCATATTTCGTCGCTTTTTTGTGCTTTAATTTTTAAATAAAATACCAAACCTGGATAAACGTTGAAATCCTATTAGAACAGCTAAATCGCTGACTATCGTAACGCCTAATGGAAGTGCATAGGTCCAAATAGCGTCAGCTATTGTAATCCATTTGAAAACTTCAGAACTGCAAAAAAGATAGGTAAAGTTTAATAATATCTAATATCAAACTGCTTAACACATCATTTTTGCCTTTCTGGTTTCTGTGCTTTGCTTAATCTAAAAAGCAATTTTATTAACAAAATAATAATGAAAACTGAAAGCAATGTTGAATGTCTGATGGTAAGATATTGTAAAAAAAAATCAGATTTACCCAACAAGTTCTTCGTCATGTGCACAAAATGTTGCTTCATAATTTCCAAATTGATTTCTCATCACCACTTCTGTCATTATAAATGGTGACCAAATCTGCAAAAAAAAAAAAAAAAAGTAAAAAATAAAAGTGAAAAAGGCCTTTAATCAGTTCAATAATAAGCTAATTTTTTTCCAATCAAATAATGTTTTTGTTCCTCTTTACTGTTCACTCCGTTGTCAATTAATTTGCTGAACTGCGAAACGCATAGCAAAAAAAAGAAAAAAAAAAAAAGAAAAAATGGAGAGAGAGAGAGAGAGAGAAAAGAAATAGTAAGACCAAATGTTTTCAGTATAATAATTGATTTGCGTTAACTGTTCAAATATAGGTAGAAAAAAATTGATAAGTTTCATGCACATTTATTTTTTTCCCTTTTTTCTTTTTTTTTTTTTGCTAGTTTCTGCTTGAAATAGCAATAAAATTATAAAGATTGTTTCTTTTTTTTTTTTTTTTTTTTTTTTTTTTT